GTTTTACTTGAATATGGTTGGTCATCCAAGTGGTAGCCCTTTGAAACTCCGACTTTCGCATCGGTTATCAGAAAACGGGGGTGAGAGCGTCTCCATCATGTTCATTCGTAATCTGCTGACATAAGGCTTCCGAATAGCCGTGTCGGCGGGCTCACGTATGTCCAGGGATTTTACAACTCCCTATACGCCATTTCAGTATTGTGTACCTCATTAAATGAACTCGTTTAAAAGTGGTTGACAAACAGAACTCGCCCATTTTAAAATATCAATGCGCCTTAAGAGATAATTTCGAACAAACCCCATGACACGCTCGATTACCATCGTGATGGCCGACACGAAAGAGGTAATCACCACAACCACGATTGACAACGCCCAAAACAAACTAGGCGCACAAGCTTCAGTTGTTTTAATTGAAAACATTACCATGCGGGTCTTTTTAGTCTCCCGTGTTTGAGGGGTGTTACAGGGTCATGCCCCCAACCTCCCTACCGAGGCGCACCACTGCTGGCACTTTAAACGGGGTCAACAGGGCCACGGCATTTGCACAGAGGGCACCAACTCGGTAAACAAGGTGGAAATAAGATCCATTTAATATGTGAACTGCAGGCAAAACCATAATAAAAATCGCCTCGGAATAACGCCTCTTTGGTTGGTGACTGCGTTGCCTAGCTCTTTTTGGGTTAATGGCAGAATACAGTGGAAAAAATGCAAAATTTTTACTTTTGAAGTGGTATTTTAGAGGAAGCCATAAAATTAATGGTCATAAATTGTGATTATATGGTTGTTAAAGGCTTGAGAGAGAGATTGGTGAGGGGGATAAAATGCAAAAAAAAGCAATTTACCTGATGAAGCGCAGTCAATCCATCCTCATTGGTGACATCGGGATTGATTCCTTTGTGGATGAGTTTTTTCACTTGAAAATGTGGCAGAGAAAGGTGGAGAGAAAAGAGAAATTAGGCTACAAATTCTGCAAATTGCATTTTTACTTCCCCTCTTCTTTGAGGAGAGAGTGTACTTTTACCACCAAGAGAATAAAAAGCTAATAGCTCAGTGACAAGAATGGCACATGTCATAGTGGAAAAAAGGGAAGGAAAAGTGGAAGTAAAACTTTGCGAAATATGCTGCAAGCACCAAGAATTCAATCCGTTTGAAGTTAATAAATAATAAATGGTTTTTCTACAAATTTGATATTCTCTGCGTGTGTGGGGTCTATTAAAACAAGGAAAAAAAAGGCAAAAACGAGCTACATCGTGAAATTTGAGATGGAACGTAACTGAGCTGACCTACTGGTCTGCCGTCATAGAGTAAAGGGGGTAGGGGGGGTTACTCTCTACCCATTTGAACCCATTAAAAGCGATCCCTCCCCGGACAGCTTGGAGGGTAAGACAGAAAGGTCTCCTTTGTGTCTTTGTAGGTAGAGAAAAAAGAAGGAAACTAACGAAAAAACGAGTAAGGCTGAGATTTTGTCAATAAGTCTTGCCTCACACGCACGGGGAGGCAATGGATACAATGGCATAGGTACATGTCAGTGTGTACATTGGAGACGAAATTTCGACACCAAGTGGAGGTTTCAAACACGCCGTACCGACCAGGAAGGGAAGGTGATTTGGAAGGTGGCAGTAGGTGCAAAAATAAAGGCGCTCTCCTACCCTGCTACTGCTCATCCAAGTGTTTCAGGTGTGCTAATCTAGCGAATGGATGATTCATTGGATAAGTACCATGAGAGATAATACCAGCTTTTACTGGACTGGTTTAACCACTTGAGAGGGCAGGGTAGAGTGGTCTTCGAGTCTCCCAGCGCACACAATGGAACCTCGTAAAAAATCACACCACCACTACCACCAGAGTGAATTAGCCAAGCATAAATCAGAGGCGTTTCAAAACTCCGAAGTCGCCAGTGGAATGACCTGTGCCAGGAGGGGGGAGGGATTGGAATGGGTGGGGGAGAGGGCGGGAAGGTGACAGATAAGTGCCACCTCGGTCCTTTAATTATCACATCAAGGTCACGACGCGGCACCAAATCCACGATTATCGGAAAGAGAGAGAGAGAGAGGTAGGGCGAGAGATCGCAAGCATGCACACACGTACGCACACACTACGTCAAATTGTGCGCGCATATTAGCATAACTCATAATAAATTGCGCGCCCATACACCACACAAACAAAAATCGATAGGAGGATATGATTGTGCCTCTTCTTGCGCGTGGGTGCACGCTTGCTTGAGTGCGTGCATGCGTGCGCGCGCATGCACATCATTGGCGCATGGTACACAGACATGATTGACAAAGCAACGAGACAAATGGGAAATATTCAGCATGAGTAACAATCGTGCCTCCACCTCAAAGGCAGAACGACCACGGCGCCTTCATTTCGTCTGATGCATTTCACACCTGTGCTCATTTATGCCTAATGAGAGGAGTTTCTCCGGTCCCTCCAACCATCTCTACAAGGCGCACTGTCTAGGCACCAATACTTGGCAGTGGCGCAGAGATGAATATCACCTCATCTGCTGAAGATGCCAAATGTATTTTTGGAGGGTCTGACTTAACTTTCATGTGTAATTTAGGTCCACAGCGATTATAACAACCTTTGAAGAGGTTGATATTATCAATAAATAGCCCACAAGAATGGCAACTGGCTTGACAAGTTGACGAAGCTAATCAAAACCGCTGACGCCATCTTACAACAAAATCTGATTAAAGAGGGAGCAGAGATCGAAACGGGAGTAGTTCTGCAGAATAAAACGAAGAGAAAAGCCAAATTAACAAGCATTGAATGTTGTTTGAATTTACACGTGTAGCTGGCAACATTACAAGCGGTTGGGGCTAGTCCACCGCTGTCCATTTAGAGCCACTCCACTCCAAATAGAGAAAGTGTTGCATCAACCAATCTTCTGACGTCACACGATTCGAATGTCAAACTCCACGGGTTCGAATTCGAGGCTGACGTTTTCGCTGTCATCCGCTCTGTGAGCGCATGCGAGCCCCAGATTATACGTTGATGACAGGGCTCACGGATGAAAGCTGAGACGCCACCCTTCCGAGTGTTGAGTGTGGCGTTGTCGTCACACTTACTATGATGTGTCTTCATGCGCGTATGTGAAGACTTTGGCGTATTTATAGAAGAGAATGCGTCACACTGTTTCTCCAGGTATATGGTAAACACGTGTCAGGACGCCCCCACAATTTTCAGAATTGATTAAATTAAACCATTTTTGAAAATTTTTAAAAAAAGTTTTGGCCTGTAAAAAGACTTAAATATTTTTTTTTAAAAAGTCGTGGACTTTTAATGCAAAAAAACTACAATCTCCTCAGTAGTATTATCATCGGAGATCCAAATGATGCAAACTTAGCTAAAGTTGGGATTTATAAAATAGAAAGATCGTGAACAACCATACACAGTGGAAACAGAATCGCTGAATAATAAGAGGAGAAAAGAGAGGGTTAGCTGACGAGGACTGCACGTGCATTCATGGTTACTGTGACTTCGATGAAGGTGCTACGTTCCGCAAATTAAAGGGAAATTAGGGGAATACCTGGGGAGGCTACCCACTCCTCTCTAAAAATAGCCATTTATTAATTAAGACATGTTAGTCTTCAAATCATTGAGAAGTTTACAAGGAACTCATACATGTACTATGACAAAAAATGGAATAAAAAGGTCTCAGATTTGCTGTTTTAAAAAAAAGTGGTGCATATGAGGCACAGTGAAAGCTGTTGGCTCATCAATGGATTAAAAAGATCAAAAAGGAGGTGGTCATATATGTCGAATAAAATCTAGTTATGTTGCTGGAAAATATGGTGGCCCAATGCAAGCTTTCAGTGCGTGAAAAACCGCATATAAGGCACCGTAATGAAATTTATATACAAAAAAGTGCATAGTATTAGTTCAAAAGCACGAAATGATAAGAGATTAACATTGTATCAGTAAGATTCAAACATTAAAATAACGTGGATCAGTCTTACCTTCTTCTATATCCCCACGTGATGCGGCTTCAAGAAACATTATATTGGCTCCAAATCTAACATTTCTAGATCTTTCCTTCGGTTCCTTGTTGCGTGGTTCATTTGGATAACTGAGATCATATTCCTCCCATTTCAAGAGTTGTTGTCTTCTCTCCTCCTTAGCTCTTTCTATGCGCCCAATATCGGGACCAATCATGACAAAGGCATAAAGTCGGGAACAGCTCTGTTAAACTCACTACCCTGACCCCTTTGAAATCAAGGAGAACTTTTCATAAAGGTTCTCAAGGTCGAATAAATCAATTTTGGCTACTAAAACTAGACCTTAATCAAATTTAGATAGCAATTTAGTGCTAAGCTTCAATTTTTTGTTCAAAATGTAGCAGCATTTGCGTTGCATTTTTTATTGCTACGCATCTGCTGGCTACTAAATCGATTCTAGTTTACATTTACCAAATTGTGATTTTATATTTTAAAAAAAAACACAAGGCACATTTTTAGCTTAAAAGGTGTGGCATTTAAAAAAATTAGGGTCTTGTAAAAATGTGGAAAAATGAGATTAGGCTCCAGCCATGAATCAGGCCTCGTCACTGTAGATGAGCAAAATGGCGGCTTCGTGCTGTTCGCTTCAGCTTAAGCTCTGTAGGTAGTAATGACCTGGCCCTAGCACTAAGCACTTCGCATCGCCTTGAATCGGTGCAGCAGAAAATGATCATCGAGGAAACCCGACTGACTGGTATTCGAGCCTGCCTGCTCTACGATAGGGATTTAACTCGGGATTGAGAGAACATAAGTTTCACTAGCAAAGTCAAGTAGCCTATACCAAGTGCAAGTTACAGTATGCCTTAAAATGAGCGGATCGCTAACTTTTACGCGTCATGCATATTGAAATGTTTGCTGATTAGTCAATTTGATAGGGATTTTTAGCAACTAATTTTAGCCCCACTTGAAAGGGTCATTTTTGGCGGTTTTATCTGCGGAAGATTAACTAATTTTTTATTTGGTGTTTTATTTCTCGAGTACGCCAAAAATTACAACACTCAAGTGGTCGCCTGTATCCGCCTTCAGCACGTGAAGCTTCATTGTTACAATCG